CCCTTCTTTTTCTTAACATCTCTTTTTTCAATTTCTTAAGATCTTTTTTCAATTTCATGGTTTTATAGATATCTCTCACATGTATGAATTTAAATCTAGGTTCTACATGTGAGAGAAATCAATGCAGCACTTGTCAGAACCTGGCTTATGTTACTTGACATAATGATCTCCAGTTCCAACCACACTATTTTTCTTTATACAGCTGAACAAAATTCCTTATGTATTTATCTGCTCCTCTGTTCAACATCTAGGATGGTTCCACATACTGATGTTTTAAATAGTGCAGCAGTAAACATGGATGTGTATGTATCTTTGTAGTAGAAATTAGAATCCTTTAGCTCTATTCCTAGGAATGTTATAGTAGGTCATATGATAGTCCTATTTTTAGTTGTTTGGAGAGACCCCCATGTTGAATCCCATAGTAGCTACAGTTCGCATTCCCACAAGTATGGTATAATGGTTCTTATTCCCCTCATCCTCACTGCCATTTCTTGTCATTTGTTTATGTGATGATAAGTATTCAAACCATGGTTAAATGGAATCGCAAATCAATTTTGTTTCATTTTCTTTATGATCAAATTTGGTCAAATATTTCTTCTTTGGAGAACTGTCTATTCAGTTCATTGGTCCACCTTTTTTGAGGGGATAGTCAAGTTTTGTTGATTTTGTACATTCTAGAGAGTAGCCCTGGTCTGATTTATAGTTGGAAAAGAATTCTTTCTCCCTCTGTAGGCCGCCTCTTCACTCTGGAATGATCATGTCTATGAAGAAAATAAGCTTTCAGTTTAGGAACTGGAGACTGTGAGCATCGTTTTCATAACAAGTCTTGACCAGCACAGGCACAATGAGTGCCCAGGGGTTATGAGTACAGGGCCAACAGCTTTGGTCACAAGAGGATAATTCATAGGAGAAAAATAATCCTATTTACCTATTGATATCCACAAAGTTTCCTAATCAATTTATTATTATTAGGTCAGATTTCAATATCCTCTCTTAGACAAGGGAGTTATACTACATTGTTCACTATTAAAGTACAAAAAAACAAAATGAGGGTATTATCTAATTTCTAAAGTTTTGGTATTCTAAAGTTTAAAGAAAAAATGATCAAAAGAGTTAAATACATTGAATTTCAAATAAAATTTTTAAATAAATATTAAATATCATTAATGGAAATAAATATAAATTATCTAAGCATTCCTGGCATATGGCATGACAACATACAAGAATAGAATTTAAAATGACAATAATTACTGACATGCACTGTGTGCCTGTATACAGTGGCCTCTTTCCTGGATAGGCAGGATAAGAAGTGGCAAATCCCATAAGGAGATTCCTCTGGGAGTTCCATGCCTATATAATGGTTGCCTGGCTCCCATTCACCAGGCTCTGATTTAATATGTGCAACTCAAGATCTCCTTCTCTTCTTTTCAAGTTGCAAGGTAAGCATCTATATGCAATGACTATTTTAAGTGGGTAATGTAATTGATGTAGGAGCAGCTGGTCAACTACATCTATGGGTTTTGAAGTTCAGATCTGACTGAGTGCTTTTTCTGAAACCTTGATGTAAGTCTGTAATTCAAATGAAAAAATATTTTATTCATTTGAAAACAGAGAGATATTTATAAAATGGCAAACTACCTTCCTGTACAAGAATAGCCTTGTGTACACGACATATAATCTGAGAAAGCTTAACACATGAAAAACTTTAGCTTAATCTAAAAGAGCTCTAACTGAGCGTGTGTTAAAATTCATCCTGTTTAAGTATGTTGCCCCATAACTAAAACGATAATTCAGTCAAACAGGTAAAATGAGATGTCACTAACTACCAGGATATTCATCATGAAAACATTATCCTTTTTCTTTTTTACTTTTACTCTGAATAATTCATTATTTGTTTTTATATAAAAAAAATCTGACACATAGTGATTCAAGTTAAGTTCAAAGGAATCATTTGAGAATTAGTTTGTTTCTTAAATATCATGTGCTAGGGATGGAATTTTAGAGATGTGTGTAACATCCCAATTACAACAGTTAACTGTGAGTTGGTGTCATTTTTTAACATATTTTACTGAGTTTTTGTACATTTCATACAACAGTTCATGATAAAATTAAGACCCCTCCCCCATCCAGGCCTCCACATGTCCCACACACACTGGGCCTCATGTATTCTGCCACACACGTTAAGTCCCATCAGGTCAAGCATTTTACCCAGATGTCCTTTAGTACAAGTTCATCACTGGAGTCTAGTCACTCTATCTGGAGATCTTCAGGAAAGTCTATTCTCCCTCACCCATCAGTAATCAGTCTCCAACAGTTCTCAGGCTAGGGCCAGCCCATTGCCCATTTCCCTTGCAACACTTTGGGCCCTTGATGCCCATCCCTAGGTGACATCTACAGTGCATCCCTCAACTCTCACCAGAGAAACTTCCTTATACAACAGAGTGCTAAGCACACAGAAAGCCACAACTGGTTAAGTTATAGAGAATAAGAGACTTCAGAGTGTGTGTCCTTGGATAGGACTCCTATATTAAATCCCACCCACCCATGGCTCAAGGAAAATTGTGGAAGAAAAGGTAAAAAGATTATAAGAGCCAGGATTGGTCCGTGAACGTAGGGAAACAGAGGCTTTCAGTCCACTGGAAGGTTGCTCATGTGAACTTGTGGCAATGACGGCATCAAGCACAAGACCTATGCAAACTCAATCAGTGAGGTGGTGTTTCTATGTGGTTAGGAGTGTGTGTGTGTGTGTGTGTGTGTGTGTGTGTACACTCTGTATCCCTCCATACTCTCTATACTGATCTATTACCTTTTATTTATTCTTTGTGTATCTGTCTCTCCAGTTATGAAACCAATTGCACAGAACAGTAATTTTAAGCTGTTATTCTCTTCAAGAGATCTGCTTTAGGAGATAGAGTCATTCCAGGTATGTGAAGTGGGCAAAATTTATACTTCACTGTACATTTCTTTACAGATGCTCAATTAGGAAATTCTCCTTGTTGTTTGTGAATATCGTTTGGGTTCAGCAAACCTAGTGCTGGAATAATTGACCTCTTAGATTCTATTTATCCTAGATGTGGAAATCAGTGTGAAAGTCAGAATAATGACCATCAAGGATCCATGTTAGCGACACTGGAACTGATGGACGTGTTACATTACATGATTAAAAGGACTGCACATATGATTAAGTTAAAGGTTTGGAGACGGTAAGCTTTCTTAGATTTCACAGGTGGGCACAATGGGAACATATTCATAAAATGGGAACTGCTTGAATATAGACACACAGCAGCTTGTTTGTGGGAATAAAGTGTTGACATGGACGTAAATGAGTAATTAAATACCAAGGCATGTAAAATAATGTGTTTAGTGACAAGTAAGAATGTGGCTACTAAAGAATAAATGCATCTCTTAAAGTTCCAAACACAAATAAGATGTAAAACATTGTCCTTGCTGCTGCACTGGTTTGAAGATTGGCATCAACTCTTCAGACCATGACTTTGCAGCTTTCAATGTGTGTGATGTAACTTAGTGTTTATACTACTGCTGGTGAGAATTTTAAAAAGGGAAGCTTTCAACACAAGTCTTGAAGATAAGACGTTATCACCCAATCACCTGCAAGCTACCATCAACTTTTCTTTTTTTCCCAGTTGTAACATTTTTATTATATTTTAACGTATTTTTATTGAATTTTTGCACATTTCATAAAAAAAATCTTCATCATATTTAGACCCCCCCCATCCACACCCTTCCATGCCCCCCACTGGATTTCATGCATCCTGTCATATATTAAGGCATATCAAATCAAGCTTTTGTGCCAGATGACCCTCGGTGCAAGCACCCACCAACCTTTTTGAACCAGCATAGGAAGTACTTTCTATACTATAAACAATATCATAACCCCCACTAAGTATGGCTTGGCTTATCCAAACATAGAGCTGTACAAACATTATCACATTTAAAACAGGAAATTATTTTACCATTCTCAATATCATTGGAAATTATGTATTTTTTCCAATTTGTATTTTTATTGAGCTTTTTGCATTTCAAAACATCTTAATCATCTTTATACCCCATCCATCAAATTTGCAGATAAAATGAAACTCAGAAAACTTTAAAACAATCTCCTGCAGGTGAGAGATGGCGCTAGTATGTAAATACAAATACAACTTTTTCTTCAGAGTCCTAGAACTTACATACAATATTATATTTTATCTTGAGAATCAGTTGTTTGCCTCAAATGCCTCAATCATATCTACTATGAATTTCTTTTTTAAAATTACTTTACTGTGTGACTCTTCCCATTAGACTTGATACAATACAGACAATAAGTGTCAATTGAAAAAAATTAAAATAAATTCAATATAAATGAGAACATGAGTATGTTCAATGTATGCACATATCAAGACATGTTACCTCATTAATATGTAATGATTTCATATTTTTGTGCCCTAGTTGAATAAAAATCAATTCAAGTTAATTAACAGCATGTATATTAAAATCCATTCAAAGTTGGGAGCCTGTTTCTGACCTTTAGTATTTGAATAACAGTCAACAAATTACTCAACCTTTATGCTACCAAATTATAGGTTATAAAAGTAAGCTGGTGTATAAATTAATTTTGTGAAGTACATGAGAGAACTGAGTTTGCACACACAATGCTTTAATGAGTGAGAACTATAGATGTGTAAGCTACTAAGTGGGAGGTAGAATTATTTTACACATGTGACCTTAGACAGTTCACCATTCTTTCTTTCAGTGTATTTTTCTCATTCAAAATTAAGTTTGGAAGATGTTCAATGTAAACTTTGCTTTTTCAAAAGCATATTACTATATAGATAAGCCATCGCCTGGATTGCATTGTCAGTCCATGACTTAGTCCTAAAGACTTTCACAAATTATTGCTATAGCAAAAGCATGCTTTTACACTTCATGTTGTGTGTAAATATTTTTGTTGAGGGCTCTCTTTACTTTGCCATAGAACAGTCTGTGATTCTAAAATACCGACCATGGAGAATAACACAGAAGTGAGTGAGTTCATCCTGCTAGGGATAACCGATGTTCCCGAACTGCAGATCCCCCTCTTCATACTGTTCGCAATCATCTACCTCATCACTCTGACTGGGAACCTGGGGATGACCACGGTGATTCTGCTGGACTCTCGTCTCCACACACCCATGTACTATTTCCTCAGCAACCTTTCCCTGGTGGACTTTTGTTACTCTTCCACAGTGACTCCGAAAGTTTTGGCTGGCTTGTTGATAGGGGACAAGGTCATATCCTACAATGGGTGTGCTGCTCAGATGTTCTTTTTTGCATTCTTTGTTACTGTGGAAAGTTACCTCTTGACCTCTATGGCCTATGACCGCTACGTGGCAGTTTGCAAACCCCTGCATTATCCAACCATCATGACAACCAATGTATGTGCTTGTTTGGTGAAATGCTCTTATGTCCTTGGTTTTCTGACTGCTGTTACTGATATTGGAGACACATTTTCTCTCCCTTTCTGCATGTCCAATGTGATACATCACTTTTTCTGTGACACTCCAGCAGTCATGACCCTGACATGTTCTGATAAGCATGTTAATGAGCTGTTTCTTTTCCTTCTTTCAAGCTTTAACATCTTCTTGGCAATCCTTGTTATCTTGATTTCCTACCTCCTCATATTCACTACAGTTTTGAAGACACACTCAGGTGAGGGACACCAGAAGGCTGTGTTGACCTGTGCTTCTCACCTAACTGCGGTCTCCCTATTCTATGGGACTGTCATGATCATGTACTTGCAGCCCAGCTCCAGTCACTCCATGGACAACGACAAAATTACCTCTGTGTTCTACACTATGGTTATTCCTATGCTGAACCCTCTGGTCTACAGTCTGAGGAACAAAGAAGTGAAAAGCGCATTCAAGAAAGTTCTTGTTGGACTGGAGAGATGGTGAACCATTTAAGAGCACTTGCTGCTTTTGTCGAAGTTGCAGTTTTGGTTCTCAGTGCTCAGTGACTCACAAACATCAGGAACTCCATTGCAGAGGATCCAATGCCCTCTTCTGTCCTCTGCAGACAGCAGGTATGCACATGTTGCACAGATAGACTTACATGCTTAAAACACTAATACCCATAAAATATATAAATAAATCTTAAAAGAAAAATGTTTTTGAAAAAAACAGTATCCTCCCTGAATTAATGTTTTAGTGGCATCCACAGTACGGTGTTTCCTTTTGCTTAGGTCGACTCAATACAATTATGCAACTGTCTATGATCACATGAGTAATTAAGCAAAATTTTGTCCAATAATATTTTCAGTGGTAGTGTCAGACATGTAAAATAAAGAAAAATAGAACAGTAAGTTCATTTAATGAAGTATGTGAAATTTTTGTTGTCTCATTTAATATGGTTACAAAAATCCCTAGCACTTAAAATATTAAACTTTTGAGTCAAGTGTGGTGGTGCACAACTTTAATACCAGTGCTTGAGAGGCAGAGGCAGGCAGACCTCTGTGAGATCGAGGACAGTCTAGTCTACATAGTGGGTTCCAGGCCACCTGAGGTGGATCTCTCTGAGCTGGAGTCCAGCCTTGTCTACATAGCAAGTTCTAGAGCACCTGTGGCTATAGAGAGACCCTGTCTCAAAAAGACAAAAAAATTAATTTAGCAGTTATTTTAGAGTATTTACCAATAGAAAAAACAATAATGTTATTTGTTCCAAAAGACAGACACATGAAAATAATATGAAAAAAACTATAACATTTATTTTAATGTAACCAGCAGCACACTACATTTTGTCTCTATGGATTTATTGATATTAAGATTACCCTTCTCTTCTGTATCAGGATATTTTAAATGTGTATTTGCATTGCTGACACTTCATCTGAGCTATAAATTATTCTGCTTTTCACATGGTCTTCTAACCACACTAACTTCTTAGTGTCCTGGAAAACTTCAGGCATTGGTTCTGAGGTCTGCATGTGCTGTTCTCACCCTGCAATATGCCCTCTCTTACTTCAGACTGCTGCTGAAATGCTGCCCAGGAAACCTACAGTCATTCCACTAACAGACCTGCACTTGGCATCCTGCTTCATTCTTATGCATGCGAATGTTCAAATATTGTTCTCATTTTTTCATTCTGGCACTTAAACTGCTCAAATTAAATGAAAGGTCTCTGTGAACCAGAGCCTTATTTGATTATTTTACTGGAAATAATCATATGACCTTAAAAACTTTCATTTTTGAGAATTTCATATATCAGTCTTTGCATTCTTTCCATCACTCCCAGCCCTGCACCAACTCCTCCCATCTCTCCCAGCTCCCTCTCAATCTTGTCCTCTTCTTTGATTGTAATTTTTACATATACACACATGCTTATAAATATGCATATACATATTAAGTGCACTTAATTCACTTAGTGGTATTCATGTGTATCTGTGTTCAGGGCTGTCCTTTTGGGACTAGATAACTTCTCAGGGAACTATTCCCTGGAGAAAACTGATTTTTTTCCTCCTTCAGCATCCATTGGTTGCCTGTACCTCTTGATCCTGAGGTTGGGCCCTGAGACATACCCCCATCTACCTTTGTGTGTCAACTGGTTTTGTAATTATGCAGATCTCGTTAGACTATCATACCATGAGGATTTCATTGCTTCATCATCCCTATCATGTCTAGAATGAAATAATTAGCAACAGGTGTCTTGTCCCTCTGGCTCTTACTCTGCATTAGGTTTCCAGATTCATTTAATCCCACAATTGTTTATTTATGAATTTACACCCAGCCTCTAAATCAGAATTAAAACGACTGGCACCAATAAAGATAACATAATTTTCAGATGTGAAATAAAACTGAATGTGAATTTAATTCCCACGATGATTAATATTATCACCTGCATAGGATCTGGAATCACCTAGGAGACCGGCCTCTGAACATGTCTGTGGGGGATTATTTTGATTAGGTTCATTGAACTGGGAAAATCACTCTAAAAGTGGGCTTCACGACGCCCTGGAGTTGGGTTCTAGACACAGCGAGAATGAGAAAGTTGGCTGAACATCAGCATTCAATTCCCTCTGCTACCCGATTGTGGGCGTTGTTCTCTCCTGCTGAGTTCTGGAGATCAAATTCAGGTTGTCAGGATTTTTAGCAAGCACTTTAACCAACTGCCTAACTCCCAAAATTACATGGACTAGGTACACAAAATGGGCCAGAATACAAGCCATTACCTAGGGAAAAAGAGCTGCTCAAAATATATTGAGAACCTTCTCCTCAATTCCTTTCCTGTTTCCCCAAAATATAACCATCTGTTTTGCCAACTTTTTCCATGTGATGACTCAAACATTTGTTAAATAGTATTTTCTTGATTTTTACAGATTCATCCTTACTACTGAACTATTTTTAGATGAAAAAATGCTATCTCCTTTAGGTCTCTATCTGAGAACCTAGTATCATATTTACACAGCACTTTCTGTTATCCAATGAAATAATGATTCAGAGAGGGAGCAAACATAGAGATTTGTGTGTGCAGTGCTAACTAGGTCAACAAACTTTATTTTTAATTTTTTTCTTTTATAATACTGATGAACATATACAGTTGTCTATTTCTTCATGTGTGTGGACATAATCTTTTCATTTTCTTTCTCAAGAATAGATGCTCTGTGTGTGTTGGAAAACTTTCATATTTGCAACTAATAAAGATTTATGCACAGAAAAGAGTTGAGGGCCAATAACAGAGTCTAAGTAATGACTAGACAAGTGATAATGGAAATTGAATTGAAGATATCAGCTCTATTTTTAATATGTGTGTATTTGTGTATTTGCCTGTGTATACATGCCTCTGTGTGCATATGTGTGTTTGCCTGTGTTCTTATGAATACTGATGTCTATATGGTTAAAAGTGTGTATGTATGTGAGTGTGTGGTGTTTGCCTGTGTTCTTATGAATACTGATGTCTATATGGTTAAAAGTGTGTGTGTATGTGTGTGTGTGTCTGTCTGTCTGTCTGTCTGTCAAAAGACAATGTCAGATATTGTTCCTCAGGTCTCATCCACAGTTTTATGAGGCACAGAATCTATCCAAAGAGCACCAGGGATCCAACTGCCTTTATCTCTCTAGCCCTTGGATTATAGGACCATCTGGATATTTTTTACATGACTTGCGAAGTTCAAGCTCAGCTCCTCATGCTTGTAAGACCAGCACTGAATAGAGTGAGACCTGTCATAACAGAACATGGTTCAGTGACTTTGAAGATTTTTGGTTGCTAGGCTAATTACGTCGTTAGTCCAGATTCTGTTCGTTTTATAAAATTCATTCCTAGTGTCCCCATTCCTTTGCTTTATAAATGACAAACCATGTCTGGCGAAGTTCAAGCTCAGCTCCTCATGCTTGTAAGACCAGCACTGAATAGAGTTAGACCTGTCATAACAGAACATGGTTCAGTGAAGATTTTTGGTTGCTAGGCTAATTAAGCCGTTAGTCCAGATTCTGTTCATTTTATAAAGTTCATTCCTAGTGTCCCCATTCCTTTGCTTTATAAATGACAAACCATGTCTATAAGGGTGGTCAGGGGTGATGGAATAGTCACAAACCCTGTCTATAATGGTGGTGGAATGGTCAAGGTGTGCTGGAGGATCAGCATGTCATGGTCATGACAATTCTCCATGACCATAGACAATTCTCCAGACAAGATGACACAGGCAGGACAGCACTGTGAGGAGAAGGCAAACAAATAGGTTGACTATTCATGCAGTTAATATTAAGGAAAAAGTCTCTCTTGCTAGCATGTTTTCTGTTATGGATTTACCCATCACTCTGTGATCCAGGGAAGCTATAGGAGAGAGAACAGATGTGAAGCCTCAGCTCCAATTAATGAGAAAAACCAGGTCCAGTCACTAGTTGGCCCTTAACTTAACTTAGTTTATATAAAATCATAGGTCTCAATAAAAATTAAAACAGTTTTCCACCAGATGGTAGGAGGGAAAACTGAAAGGAATAATTTTAAAAAATTATGGTATAAGATGCAGGGTTGGAGCATGGTCATAAGAAAACAGACTGGGAACTTGCTTATATGAAATAATAGCAATGGTGATAGCATGCACAAGACCCTTGCAAACTCAACTAAACAAAAACCCAGCATTAGAACTGGGGAAATTGGCAGTGGGCTCCAACCTTAGCTGAAGAACTACTGACAGCTGAGTACTGCTGGGTGAGGAAGAGTTGATATTCTTTAATGGAGAGACACTAGATAGGCTGACTAGACTCCAGTTAATGAACTTGCAGTGAGAGATGTCTGGGTGCACACATTTGACTTGATGGACCTTAACATATATGCCAGAATGCACAAAATTCAGTGGGGTGATATGGGGGTGTGTAGAGGGGGGAGGACTGTGACCCAGATGTTCCTCTGATAAGCCATGATCCCATCTTTTTCCCTCGCTCTGTGGAAGGAGTCAAGACTATTAAGGGGTGGAGCCCCTGCCATATTGGAGTGCAGGCAAATGTCAAGCAAGAGACTGGAGCAGGAGACTGATGGCACATGCATTTCAAATATGAAAAAGGAAAAGCCTATAAGAATTAGTGTTTTTGTAAGTCACCCCCTCCCAAATGTCATATAAACTATGCAAAATTCAAATAGAATGTCTTATGTCAGTTTGCAAATCCGTGTCAGTACCATGAGACCCTGAGTAAGGGCAGGTCTCTCAGCAGGGAGGAAAAAATTTAGTGAAACAATAATTAAATATGATTAAGATGTATTGTACGAAGCACACAAAAATTCAATAAAAATATACATTGAAACATAAATGAAAAAAGTTGTTTTTAAAGATTTTAGAGTATAGTTTGTTCCTGGGTCATTAATACTCAATCTCCCTTTTTGTTTATGTATTAAACATTTGAATAAGAAGTGAGTTGGCATGATTATGGCTCATACTTGGTGTAATATAAGGATTTTCACAAGAGAC